TTTTGAAAATTATAGGACAATGTGTTATAAACCGAATTGCTATTCATGTAAAACTAATTAGATATGTTTTAATATGCTTTGATATTTGTTGTGTACATGTCTGAAAATTACTTTAAACTCTAGTTATTCGAATTTATGTATAAACTATTTTGCATATGATAAATTCGCACCCTGATCTCTAATCGTTCTCCTTAAATCTATTTAATTGAAATATTTTGTTATTATTACTAAAATTAGGTGGAAAAAATAATCAAAACAGCCAAGAGCTATTTTCCACCTAATTGCGTTATACTTGTACTGTTAATATAATCATCAATTTTTTGATTGTAAACTCTATCTGTATACAGATACATTTATTTTAGCAATAAACTTTATCTATCTATCTTATCTTAATATCAACAACGTCATTTTATAAAGTAGGTTTATTCACCTTGTGCCCCTCTATACTTTATACTTTAACTATCACGGGCAGCCGTGGTACATTTGAATTTCCGAGTCGGGTTAACCTTTCCGGTTCTAGTTTGTACTGTATCGCCCAGACATAGGGTAAATAAAGCTGTCACTCAATAGGACTAGCCGGTGCGACAAGATTGACGCGGTTAGACTTTGGGTAGAATTTACTTTTACTAAAGGATCAGTGGTGCGTGCTATATAATAAGCTGCTAAGGAGATTGGAGACTCTTGAATTTGGTTGTGTGTTTTCACTTTTTATCAAAATATTTTTTTTTTTTGCAGGTACCAATGCTGATATAGTATCTACTGTTCCTCAACGTGATGTAGAAATCAATACAGCGATCAAGTAAGGTTATATTGTCATGTATGTATGCTGTTTACTTGTTTTTGATGTTTTGTACATGTGTAGTTTTGTGTACATGTACACTGCTGAATAAATTCGTGCTGTTTTATTTGCATAAGAACTAAGTAATATTGTGTACATGTGTGCTGTTGTGAACTATGTTATGTTATGTACGAGTGTGGTGTTGCATACCGGTGTACCGCTGTGTACATACATGTGTGCTTTTATGTATATAAGTTTGCTGTACTGTGCTCATGTGTGACGTTTTGTACATTTGTGCTTTTGAGTACATATGTGCTGTTGTGTACTTAATGCTGTTGAGTACATCTGTGCTGTTGAGTACATCTGTGCTGTTGAGTCTATCTATTTAGATCTATCCATATCTATCCATCTATCCACCCTTCCATCTATCCATCCATATATCTATCTATCCATCTATCTACCTAAATTTAATTTATCCAAAACCTTTCTGAAATCTGAAAAATAATTTCTCATACAACTTCTAGTTAAAGTTTACTGCAATTTTTTTCCTCTAGTAAATGTCAGAAAGTTACTTTTTAAAGAATTCTATTTTCTCAATCACATTCTTCTTTCAAAGATTATTTATGCAAAATTACTATCAGGGCAGTGCCATTTTAATAATAACTTGATTATTGGATATAAAAATTAAATTAAATGCTATATCACGAGAAACTCTGCTTTATTGAAGTTTTGTACCGACATTTTATTAACTAAATCAATAAGTTAATAAGTTGCATGATCTAAACCAGTACACAGATTCTACAGTCTAGTCTTGACCGTTCCGGCTACGCAGTTGACCCTACGCGTTTATTTTACAAGAGAATAAGACGGGCTGATCTAAAGTGCAATGTGTACACTGCACATAGCTAAAAACTTTAGAATGGTGGATATCAAGATTAATGCTTTAACTTCTGGTCTTACTAAACCCAAGATTATTTTTAATCGCATTCGATATCCAAGAAAGAAGTTAAAAATATAACCAATCAGCGTGTCATGTTAAGATGTACTCTTTAACTTTTGAAAAACCGATTTTGATACAGACGGAAATTATGTGACCAGTATACTGCACTGCTATTGGCTGAACTTCTGGTGACGTAATACCAGGGAGTAAGGAATAGATATAACTGACGCGGTTTGCCCTACCATATGATTATACATGCTTTACAGACGAAGTACTCCATTTGAAAAAGAGTTGTCTTAAAGGTCGTCTTTTAATTTTTTAAATGTAGTTACTTTACCATAATAAATAAAATCTTATTTTCATATTATAAAAAAATACGTTTGTATTGCTAATAATTTTGCATCTTAAAAAATGAATTTATTTGGCGATGTTCAGCATACTTTTTTCCCTGTTAAATGTATTCAATGACCTTTTCTGAATACATGTACGCCGTAATTGTACATAAGACGACATTTAAATATTTCTTGTTCAAATGGAGTACCCGTCTGCAAAGCATGTATAATCATATGGTAGGGCGAACCGCGTCAGTTATATCTCCCTTCTATTCCTTACTCCCTGCGTAATACAGACTATTCGGACTATATGTAATAATATTATTAATTAAATCTATTAAAAATGCAAAATGAAAATTGAAAAATTATAATAGAAGCAAACCTGAGATTCTCAGGTTTATGTGGGATATAATCGTTTTCAGATTGGTTGCGTATTTGCTGAATTTGATCTGTTTAAACCTACTACTTACCTACAACATTGTATATATATGAATTTTCGTATAATTATGAGTTTAAAATCAATTTCTCGAGACAGGAACATCAGATAGATGTCTTATATGTATCGTTCAACGCCTGAGATTCTCAGGTTTCATCCTATACCCCCTTTCATTTTTCCTTTACAGTCCCTTTAAGGATATCTCACTCTTAAGTTTTCAGCTCAGAATGTTTTTACAGACTACAGGGTAGATTAATAGTCTCGCCGGTTGAACTTGAAAGCAACGACATCGATTTCATTGTTTGTGTTTGCAACTCTGCAGGGTTGTCCTTTCATCATACTAATGATAATGATAATACTCCAGGTATATCTGCAGCTCAGGCAGGGATATCTTTGGAACCTGCTTCTTCGACGGTAGACCCAGATACCCAGGATACTCAGATCAATTAGATCAAATCATGGATCAATCCATGGATCAATCTGAATATTTAGCCAATAATCTAAAATATAATAGTTCTGTTTGCTCTATTCCAGAAACAAACAAGGTCAGTATTTTTGTTTTTATTTTATTTAGAAAAATAAATTTTTCATTTTTATTTTTTTTAAGGTTGAAAACGGTGGTACGGAAACTTTATTGCTAGGTAATTCATATTATTATTATTATTATTATTATTATTATTATTATTATTATTATTATTATTATTATTATTATTATTATTATTATTATTATCATGATAATCTCTGCTATTAGAAGAAAGAATGTTTGGTTGGTTAAGTTTACCAGATTATCCTTCCTTCTCATCCATCTCCAGCTTCACCTGGTTCCTCACCTTCCCCCAGCACTCCTTCATGGTCCTAGGGGTTGAGCAGATCAGGTAGATTATATAATTTAAAGGGATCGTTTATAATTTACTAATAGTGTGTTGTGCTTGTCTCATTGTTGTGTTTTCAATCAGAAGAAATTAAAATTGACAATTTATTTTAATTTGTGAATTTCCTGAATTCAATTTTGCAACCAAAAGAAAAGAAGATCCCACTTTTTAAAAATTCCATCATGTAATGCATTTTTTTGTAAAACACCTCATGTTTCCGAAAGAACTCGGATCGATAAACAAAAACTTTTTAATTTGTTTAATTCAATTTATTTTCTTTCTTTTTTTAGAAACGAGGATAACACTCCAGAAGATTGGTTGGAGCTAATTTATCTGGATAATCAGGTAAAAGGGACAGTTCACGGTGCATTTTTTAGATAAAAGGGGACTGTACCAATAATTAGGAACTGGAACCAGATTCGGTTAAGATCGATAATACAGGGATAGGAAGTTTTAATAATCTGTTATTAGTTGACAGTTGTATTTCGAATTTTAATAATCTGTTATCATTTCACAGTTGTATTTCGAGTTTTAATAATCTGTTATTAGTTGACAGTTGTATTTCAAGTTTTAATAATCTGTTATTTGTTGACAGTTGTATTACGAGTTTTAATAATCTGTTATTAGTTGACAGTTGTATTTCGAGTTTTGATAATTTGTTAAAGGTTCACAATTGTATTTCGGGTTTTAATAATCTGTTATTAGTTCAAAGTTGTATTTCAAGTTTTAATAATCTGTTATTAGTTGAAAGTTGTATTTCGAGTTTTAATAATCTATTAGTTGAAAGTTGTATTTCGAGTTTTAAGGCGGTCGAGTTTTTATCACGAGTTTATAGTTTACAGTTCACTCCTTAGATCCGAATCCATGAATTCAGTTTATTTTTGGATCCGTATCCGGATCCAGGTCAAGGAAGCCAAAATGTTATTGATCCTAAGCACTGGTCCAGAATATTAAAGTTTAGAAGTTTACTATAAAACTAGTTTAAACTAGAAGAAACTATTTGTTTACATTTTGTGGATTTACAAACAAAAATTTAATTTCTACAAGACATAAACCTTTCCTGGTATTATGTGATGACCTGTATATAATTTAGGCTACATTTTTACGTTTATTTAATCAATCCTGGCCATTTGTAAAACTATATTTTTTAGTTTTATTCTTATTTTTATCTTATATTAAATTTTTTGAAAAGTTTTAATATCAATTATTGTCTTGAAAAGGACTGTACAGAATACTCAAATAATTAGCACTATTAATAAACAAATATCCATTTCTATCAACAATATTTTAATATAAAAACTTTATTGTTTTTAGGTTTTATTGAATGAAACTCACAAAAGAACCTCATTCTTTATATACAGCAATGCAACCATTAGGAAATCCATTGTTGGAAATTGTTTGTCTTGTCTGTCTTGTCTGTCTTGTCTGTCTTGTCTGTCTTGTCTGTCTTGTCTGTCTTGTCTGTCTTGTCTGTCTTATGTCTGTCCTATCTGTCCTGTCTGTCTTGTCTGTCTTGTCTGTTTTTTTTTCAACAATGATTTGAATTTTCCAGATTGCTTGAATCTACAAAAAGAAGAAAATTTCGTCTCTCATATATTATGATGTAAAAGCTAGAGAATATAAATTATCAAATACCATATATAATATTTTGTATTTACTGAGCAGAGCTATGGAAAGAAAATAAAAGCAATATTATTGATTATCTATTATACATAATCATATATTATCTATGTCTGGAATCTTAAAAATATCCCAGATTCAATGTCAATTGCCATAATATAATATAGTCAATATAGCGTTGGGACATTTCCTAGAAGACATTTCCTAGAAACACATTTCATAGAGAGGACATTTCATAGATAGGACTTTTTATGGATAGGACATTTCATAGATAGGACATTTCGTGGATAGGACATTTCATAGATAGGACATTTCATAGATTGGACATTTCGTAGATAGGAAATTTCATAGATAGAACATTTCATAGATAAGACATTTCATAGATAGGACATTTCAAAGATAGGAAATTTCATAGATTGGACATTTCATAGATATGAAATGTCCCAACGCCGTCAATATAACTGCTAATTATGAAATGTCCTTTGCTCATATTGCTAACTTTATATGTAATTATTTAGTGCCGTCAACGTTTCAACTCATTAACTGAACAAATGAAACCGTTCATACAAAAAAACTTACTTCTTAATCAAGGCCAATCAGGCCAATTTGTTTGCCTACACTCTCGTAACTTGATAAAGTAATCTTTTCCTTTAAACTAAAGTAAATATTTTTATGGACACAGTTCTCTAAGGAGTTGAAGTTGTTATATGTTGAAAATGAATGGAAAAAAAACATTCATTTTCAACATAACTGAACGTGCCAGTTAATCCTATGTTGAAAACAAACTGTAACATAAAAAGTTGAACCACCCATGAAAAGGTAAATCACTTATAGAACTATAACAGTCAACGGACAAAGTTGATTTTTTTTTTGAGGGGGGGGGGCTTTAAAATAAATCTTTAGATAAATAACTGGATTTCAAAATAATATTTGAATTTCGAAAATATTTACAGATTATTGAAGCAGAGCTAAGAGTGGAGGTCTTGCCAAAAATGTGTTAAATAATATAGGTTTGTATTTCTACGGAATGAAAATTGATGTTTTTTATTTATTTATGTTGCACAATACAAATTTAGAGGGGAGGGTCTGGGAGAGGCACCAGTCTATTTTTGGAAATAGTAGGATTATCGTTTTAAGAATCATATATGTACAATTATATTGAAGAAAATTACTTAAAAGGTCGGAGAAGAATCGCTTTCTTATTGTCATGTTTTGTGTGACACACTGTAGTTTAAATTAATCTTTAAAAGAAATAATTTTCATTTTTCCAATAACTTTATTGATTAATTGTGACAAGTTTAAAAGTTTATACTATAGAAAAATATAAATCTAGGATTACATAATACAGAAATCGGGTGAACAAAACATGTTGGTGTTAATTATTAAAATTATATCATATACAAGATTTTTTAATTTTATCTTTAAACACATTTATTATAGACAAACTTCGTTCACAATTTTTGCAATTACACTTAATGTAATATCGTTGGTAAAGAGTAATTGTATTTATAGGAATATAATTATTTCTATGATTATTAAGAAGGAATTACATAAAGGTATTAGATTTGAGTATGTTTATTTAATCTTGCTTTTATATCATATATCTATTTATATAATAAAGTTTTACGATTTTTTGCCGCTCATAATCATTAAAACAAAGTTTAATAAAAAAGTGCGGGTAAACGGCGGGAATAACTATGACTATGTATAATAATATAAACCTGGGCAACGACAGCAACTTCTATAACCATGAAAGTAAAAATACCTTAAAGATCAAATGTTAAGACCGAAATACTCATAAACTCCTTTCGAGAAATATTTAAAATAACATTTCCATTGATATCAAATCATAAATGATTTAAGTTGCATATAACCGGGAATTTCTGAATTATGAAAAGCAGATAAACTTTTAATTTTTTGGAAGCTTTAACAAACTCGACATAGTTAACCATTCAAAATGACAAAAAATCCGGCACAAGAACTTTTTAAAAATGGCGAAAGATCAGATGATCTTTCAAAATGACGGGATATCATTTGATCTTTTCAAAATGGCGGGAGATTATCTATTCTTTTCAAAATGGCGGGAGATTATCTAATCTTTTCAAAATGGCGGATAGATCAGCTGGTCTCCTCAAAATTACTAGAGATCAGCTGACCTTCTTAAAATGCCGGGAAATGAGCTAATCTTTGTTCAGGTCGGTAGATTAGCTAACCTTCTAAAAATAAGAAAGAAACTGTTTACATAAATTGACTTATTTGATGCTTTCAGAAGGTATTTTCTTCAAAGATTTATTTTAAAACTTTGCCATTATTTAATTCAGAATTTGACGCGTCTAGCTTGTTGGAAATACTAGTTGGTCTCATGACTTAATCCATTTGGATTTTATAACAAGAAACATTAAACCTGCAACTAAAGCTTTTATATAATCATGCATAATGGGTAGAACAGTTAAGATTGATCAAGTATTCTAACTTACCTAATTCTAAAAAAAAATAAGCAAACTTTGATATTTTAAAGGTTAATATTATGAATTAACATCATTATGCAATTTGCATTTACGTAAAATTTCTAAGTAAAGTTTTCAAAGTTTCAAATTAGATTAGAAATAAAAGAATAATTCCAGGAAAGAACTGAGATCGTAACTTTCGGTTGAGCTGCCACGGAAACTTTAGAACTTAGGTATTACATCTCTGGGCTTTTAAAAGTTCCAGCCTCTAATCGTGCAAGTTTTGATTTCTGATTAAAACATTTTGATGAATTATTTACTTGTTTGGGTATATATATAGTACAATATATTTACATGACCAAATTAATAAGATATTTATATCAGGGGACGCAAATTCCAAACCGTGTCTTTAATATTCCAAAAAAGGGCAAAATCACAGTTTGGAACTTTATTCTCCTGTATAGTCATATATATAACAAACAGAATAAGATTATAAATGGTTTGTTCCGAAAGAATAAAAAGTGGGGAATTTTCTCTACAGACGCTCAAGCAAAAGACTTTGCATGTTGGATTGAAAAAAAAATTAATCAACATGAAGTATTTAATCCTCTTCCTAAATTGTGAAGAAAAGATGTAAATGTAAACGTTTGTAATAGAGTATAAATTCAGGTTCAGGTTATGTTTTTAGATTGGATAAAAAAATAATGATAAATGCATCTTTTTTTCCTTAAAATCTAAGAGATTTTCAAACAACGGTTACCTTGAAAACCTTGAACTAGGGAAATAAAACAATAAACCACAATTAATTGCTTTTTTCTTTAATAAATGGAAGTTTGCTTAGAATTATTTTGCAAATCTCTGAAACTCCAATTCTCAGATATTCTCGTTAAAAAAAATTTTATTTGTAAATGTAAAGTATACAAAACTGACAGTTTTTGTAAATAAAAAAAGATTGCTTCATGTAAAATGATTGTTACTAAGCAGACAGTTAATGGGTTGCACGTGTTAAAAACCGGTTTTCCTAGAGCCGGGCCAAACCACGCGCAGAAAAGATCACTAGTTAAAGAAGAGATGAAAGGGGACTAGAGATATGTTTATGTAGAAACTACAACTTCTAGTAGAATTGAAAATACTGAAAACGTTTGATGAGTCCTGAAGAGAGATTGAAGATTGTAACTTGACTTTTTTTTTTTTGGTGGTTTATACCTTAGATCTCTGGTTTAGTTCGTAAACGCCAGTTCGTTTAGATTTTTGACACGAGTAGGTTTAGTACATCAACATGTGTTTGTTTAGCTTGTAAACATTGGTCTTGTTTGTAAACATATGTTGGTTATTTTGTAAGCAAGAATGATCCATGTTTATAATCTCAAGGGACCCAGGAGAGAGCTACATTTCATCCAGGCTTATGAACCAGGCAGCCCCTAGAATATTAAAAAGTTTATTTTAAATTTACAACCATGCAAAAGTAACTAGCAATAAGATATGATTGACAGAGGGTAAAACTTTGGTATGGGATAGCCAGCCTGAGCTAAGATTTTGGTATGTGTACTGCAGTAATATACAGTACATTGATAACAAACGGGTGTAAAAGAAGAGAGATACATCTTTAAGGTTGATCTTTAGGTTTTACAGGGGGAAATAAGATTTCTGGGGGTCCATGGTCTCCCCCCCCCTCTTTATTTACAACCAGGCTACAGATAATTTGTAATCTATAAATGATAAACTTACCGGAGCTGTGAAGTTTGCTATCATTGTTTTGTTAGGTTTTTTTAGCCACCAAATCATTAGAACATTTTCCAGCGGCAGGTACATTCTAGTTATATCATCATTAGGTACTTTATTATTAATATAATTGATATCATCATTAGATACTTTATTCATATAATTGATATCATCATTTGTAGTATGATCATTGATATTATCATTTGTATTATGATCATTTTAATTTGTATTATAATCATTGCTATTATAACTTGTATTATGATCATTGATATTATAACTTGTATTATGATTATTGATATTATCATTTGTATTATGATCATTGATATCATCATTTGTATTATAATCATCGATATTATAACTTGTATTTTGATCATTGATAATATCATTTGTATTATAATCATTGATATAATAACTTGTATTTTGATCATTGATATAATAACTTGTATTATGATCATTGATATTATTATTTTTATTATAATCATTGATATTATAACTTGTATTATGATCATTGATATTATCATTTGTATTATAATCATTGATATTATAACTTGTATTTTGATCATTGATATCATAACTTGTATTATGATCATTGTATTATGATCACTGATATTTTTGTTTGTATTATAACCACTGAAATTAATATTATCGCTAATAACAATATTATTATTTCTATTATAATTAATTATAAATATCATTGCTATTCTGCTTTTACAAAAACAAATTATGATAGTAGTCTTATGACCTTGACACTTATTCTCTTAATCTTAGTTTTCCACTTTGCATAATAGTTTTATTAATATTTTGATAACTATAATTATGATTATTGTTAATATCAAATTGCATAGTGTTTAATATTATGATTATGAATTTGTCTGGCTACCCGCTGGGTAGATAATAAGCTCACTATTGTTTGGAAGATAAATGTGACACTAACAGAAATATATTTTATATTTAGAGTCAACCAGGGGAACTAGGGAAACCAGGGGAACCAGGGTAACCAGGGTAACCAGGGGAACCACGTTTACCAGGGTAACCAGGGGAACCAGGGGAACCAGGGGAACCAGGGAAACCACGGTTACCAGGGTAACCAGGGGAACCAGGGAGCCATAGGAACCAGGGAAACTAGGGGAACCAGGGTAACCAGGGAATAAGCTCACTATTGTTTGGAAGATAAATGTGACACTAACAGAAATATATTTTATATTTAGAGTCAACCAGGGGAACTAGGGAAACCAGGGGAACTAGGGTAACCAGGGTAACCAGGGGAACCAGGGAAACCACGGTAACCAGGGTAACCAGGGGAACCAGGGAAACCAGGGAAACCACGGTTACCAGGGTAACCAGGGTAACCAGGGTGCCATAGGAACCAGGGAAACTAGGGGAACCAGGGTAACCAGGGGAACCAGAGGAACCAGGGAAACTAGGGGAACCAGGGGAACCAGAAAACCAATGGAACCAGCGGAACCAGGGGAACTAAAGGAACCAATGGAACTAGGAGAACCAGGATAACCAGGTGAATCAAGGGAGCCGGAGAATAAATAATAATGTATTTACCTCAGAAGAAGGAATACCCAGAAAATGAAGAATCCAATAATACCAATTGTAAGAATACAATGGAAATTCGTCCAATCAACAAACTCATGCTTAGACTAAAATAGTTTTTTAATGTCAATATATTTAATCATTATATTACTGTTTAGTTTAAGTTATAATTACACTTAGACTAAAATCAGGTTTGCTGTAGATGACATTTTGTGCTCTTGTTTCATAAAAAAAAAATAATCTTGTTTATGTAACCTAGAAACTAATATGTTTGAAGCTTTAACTATATTTTATAATTTATATATTAGCATGCTTTTTTCAAGTAAACAAAGAGAAACATCTTAACATTTAATATCTTCTCTTTGTTTTCTTGATGATGTGTATCCATGCTGTTTCAAATCAAAATTAAAATCTAAAATCGTCTTCATTGTATTGATATCTTAAAACCGTATTAGCCAGCTAAAAAAATAAGAAACCAAGAACTCTTCTCATTCTTTAGTTTTTAAATCCTCTTTTCTTTGAAAACTCATGATTTTAGAACTTTGATATTTCAAACTTTATAAATTCTGCATTATCAAATTTTCATCATTATTTTGCAAAAACTTATGGAAAAAATCATAAAAGTTTGAAGCTTGGGTTTTGCACTTTATTAACATTTGTTTAATTAAATAAAAAATAAATGAAAATTGAATATCTATTTATGTCATGTGTAATGAGTATTATTAAGGATGATACCCATTTCAATAACATATATAGTTATATTCAGAATTACTCAAATTATTTAAAAGCAGGTCGATAAAGTTACTTAATCACCATGCTGTAGGGTGATTAAGTAACTTTATCACCATACAATGAGACATATTAGGTATGAAATTTGAAATTTTAATAGCAGGGTGAAAAAGTTACTTTTTCGCCCTGTTGTAGGGCGATAAAGTCACTTAATCACACTACAACCGGAAATATTAGGTGTAAAAAATTCCATTAATATTGAATAAAAAAATTTACCTTTTCTGGTTTAAAATCTAAATTTCCCAGTTTCAGAAGAACTTTGCTATTTGGTCCACAGCTCTCAGCTATACTGTTTACCCCGCGGATCACACTAAGTATCATTATTATTAGCGTTATCATTTTCATCTTTATAATAATTTTTTCATCGTTTGTTAATTTTGTCATTTATGTTTTAAATATTTCGGGGATCGGAAGCTATTCAGTCAAAATTTATCAAAAATCATTCGGAAAGAATGGAATTTCATTTTTTTTTTACAATATCATGCGAAGTTTCACTGGCAATTCTTCCTGCATCATTTTTGTAAATTTTATAATAAGCAGTTTTAAATTTGGTTCATCTGTTTCTTTAATTTACAACAAATTAAATGGTATTTATAGAATTGCCGAGAAAACTAAACGTTAAAGAAATATTAGGAACAATTCATATTGAATAATAATTAATAATAATTTAACTTTATTTCTCTAGAATACCTTGAGATTTTTACATTATTTCTCAAATAAAAGTCGAAGGGATTAGCGGTCCTGGTTAAAAGGCAGTGAGTCTTAAAAGGAGTGTTCGCAAAATAGGAAATGGGGTACGTACAGGCTGATCCCAAATTGAATTTGGTTTTGAGCGCTACTAGTTTTATTAATATCTGTTGCGTCTAAAATGAGAAAATGGTTAAAAACTCCTTTTTGAATTCTAAATCAAAATATTACTAAAGATTTTGTTGATACAGACATTTTGTACTTTGTTTTAGTAAGTGTTCTGTGGTACAGTTGTAAATCAGGTATGTACTGTACTGTGGTACAGTTGTAAATCAGGTATAAACCTCAAATAAAGCGTCATTTACAGAGACAGTTCCTTTCAACCTAGGCGCTGTTTATTTATAAAGGATCTGAGTTCTTGCAACAAACTCTAATTTTCTAATTCTTTTATCTTTTTAATCTGATGGTGTAAACCTTTAATATTTAAAACTTCATAGTTTAGAAATCAAAGGTATAATACGCCAAGTTTAGGAAATCAGAATTTTCTGAAAAGAAAAAAATTGCATTTATTACCTAATATTTGTCATCTCATGGCTGCCTGTTATATCTTCGTCTTCAATTATTATTATTATTATTATTATTACTATTGTTATAATTATTATTATCAATATTACTAGAGACTTGTGGCTTATTGTCTGTCATCATTATAAAGTTTATCATCATTATTGTTTTCATGATGATTATTTTTAATATTACCAATGATTGAGATTCCGCCCCACCCAGGGGTTTGTAGTTAGATGAAGACCTTGATAGCATTGTTTTTCAAATAGGTCTTCTAGATTTTCATTTTCGATTTTTTTGATCAACTTTCTTTAAAATTTTCAAAAGATTTGTTCTTTTTATAAAAATATTGTAATTTCTCAAATTGAAATCTACTTAATTTTATAATTCATTATTTTTTTTCTTGAGGTTTTATTTCGTGACGAAACCAGTTTTCAGTTTCCTCTTTTTTGGGGGGAACCTTCAGCGTTCTCTGGACACTTTAAAAGTTTCTAATTCATATTCTCTGAAAAAAATATAGTTTTTATGTCTCATTTGGGTCATTTTCAGAAATCATTTTCTGAAATATACCGGAAGTGAAGGTTACAATGATTTTTTCACTTGAAATACAAAGAAAGTGGGTTTATATAATTATAATAATAAAAATAAAAAGGTATTGTACCACTTTTAATATCTTATCTAATTATATTATTATTATTTTCAATATTAATATTATCAATGTTATCATCATCATATGAAATTATGCTATTGAGTTTAAGGATCATGGAAATTGCTAAAAGGAATTGAGTCTTTGCAACAAATCCCAATTTTCTAATAAATATATATCTACAACCAAATTATGTAAACCTTTGACATTTCAAACTTTGATTTTTTGATATAACAGAAGTCATAGTTTGAAATATCTAGGGTCTACAACATTGGGTTGTTAAGATATAGGGATTTAAAAATAAGAGTCTGTGACAACAACTCAATTCCTTTATACGAAAATTCATATATATACAATTTTGTATAGAAATAGTAGATGTAAACCGATTATATTTAGCAAATACGCAACCAATCTGAAAACGAAGATATCCCAGAGAAACCTAATTGTAACTTAGGTTTTCTTTAATTATTATTTTATAATTTTTATTTTTAATTTTTATTGATATAATTGATAATATTATTTATAAGGATGTATTACGTCACCTGAACTCCCACCAATGGTAGTGCAGTATAGTGGTCACATGTCTGAATATGATCTATTTAAATCTATAACACCTTTCATTTTTCCTTTACAGACCCTTTAAAGGCAATTTTTAACAAAATTTAACCAAACTTTCAAGAAATAGATTAAAAATATGTTACACATGGAAACACTTATTTCAGGATTGTGAGAAGGGTCTGCTAACAGATCTAGTCCTGAAACTCAAGCTCCAGGTATATATGATAACCCAGGATAAATGAATTTATTGATTGATAAAATAATTGAGTTCCTGAATCTGATGGATAAATTGATTACTTGATTAGTTGATTGAATGAATAAATGTTTAGTTAATATTTTGTAAGTGATTAATTGGTTGATTTTTTGTCGGAAGATGATCCCTGTGTTTTAGTCAGAACAGAACATGGCGGAGAGATCTAAGCAATTCAGCTGATTCAAGAGTTTCCACATTCTTGATAAATNTTTTGTTTTTTGCGAAATATTATTTTTTTTAAAGTGTCCGATCCTTGAAAATAAATACATTTTTTAAAAATATGGCGACGTTAGGGCATAAAACATGACTAGAATAAAGTTTTCCAAAGATTTTTAGACGTTGGAATCTTCAAATCCTCCCCTCGTTATGTAATCGCCATTGTTATACACAGTACAGTACAGTTCTCATATTAAACTGTTGTACATTTACAACCTCTGGCAGTACACAGTACACGTTGTATTAGTAGGGTGGTACACCTCTTTGTAGTGCACATTGCACAATAAAAAATCATGCAATGTCGTACTTAATGGTGTAAAATTAACCTAATGTACTGCAATACACCGTACAAAAATGCTCAAGAAGGTGGTGCATGTGTATATTGCTATGTACAGCAACAATGTAGAGAAACATACATTGTACAGTCTATACTGTACAACAGTAAGGTATATACTGATGAATGGTTGAATGAGAAGCAAGAGGCTAGAGGAGGATAGAGAAGAGGCTGGGAGAAGGAGAGGGGAAGAGGCTGCGAGGCTGGAAGAATGAGTAGGAGGAGGTTTATGGAATACAGGGCGGAGG